CAGCCCCTTCCTCCCGCTCGGCCCCGCCGAGGGGCTGGAGAGGCAGCGAGCGCAGGGCAAAACCTACCGATACAGCCTCACACACCGACTCCCGAAAAATATAAAATAAAATAAATTTTTAAAAGCGGATAGAGGAAGAGAAAACCAGCCTCGGCACAGACTCCACCAAAATTCCTTTATTATAGCAATCTAGGAGAGTCCTGCTTGGCAGCAGAGTCCAGATAAATCGCTGCCTGACATGAAACTATTTTGGCAGGGAAAGAAAATGACATAAACTAGAGTTTCTTTTCCTTTTCTGTTCTTTTTTTTTTATTATTTTTTTTCACCATATTATTTGTGCACAAAAAAAATTGTAATCAAATTAATAAGTGTAAGATGGGAAAAATGCTGGCGCTTTTTAGCGGTCTTTGAGCATAGTATTGGGAAAGATACCTTGAACTGCAGCGTTTTGCAACGCATGGAGCAAACAGAAAAGGCTACAACCCATTATCAGAAATCCTGAGTATTTATAAGCTGAGGAAGGAAAAGAGAGTTACATTTGCTCTAAAACTCGCTTTATAAAACTCATAAATAATTGCTGGGATAAGAGGAGAATATATACATATATATATATATATATATATATACACACACACACACACACATATATATATATATACATATATATGCAAAAGATCCTTCTGGATGCTTTATCTAGAGATCATCTTTCGCCAAAGTTAGTTAAGCAGTCATGATGCTAGCTTTGGAGACTGGTGTTCTGATCGATATCTCCTGTATATTTTGTTACTTTTTCTCTGTCTCATGTTTTCCGTTTCCTTCATCATTTGAGATGTTATCGGAGCGGCCGCAGTGTCTTGTCACAGAGACTGTCACAGTTGCAGTCTAACCTGCAGTGCATCGGAAAGCTCGTACACAAACAGGGACAGTGTAAAGACACACACGCCCGTTTGCAAGCCAATATAACTTTCCGGCCCTGACAATGTCCACTTCTTCCCATCAAGAATATATGCAGCAAAACAAAGCTGGAGAACTGCTGCAGAAACTGGGTGGATTTCCAGGCTGCGCACTGCAGGCATCTCATCCCGAGCGGCGGTCCGGCCGCTCCGGGGCTCTGCCTGCACCGTCTGCCCGCGGCCTTCCTTACATTTAAAAATCCACACTGCAGACACATTCTTTCCTTGGGATAACACCATATATACACGTGTGCTTGTGCATATATAGATACAGATATCCATCAGCTGCTTAGAGGCATGTGTGTGTACGTATAAGATATATGTGTATATACATCAATTCTACATCTGGACTAGTTTTTCACTTTCGTACTCAGTTTACACCCAGACGCTCACGCATATGTGTATATGCTTATAAAAACCTCCGCCTGCATGTCTGTGCTCTGTGCACGTCTCCCCTCTAGGTCCTGCTCTACACACCCCGTCCAGCCGAACCGCGAGTCCGGCACTCTTCTTCCCCTTCAGCCTTTCCCCGACAGGCAGCTCCCGGGTACCGCGGCAGGCTGCTCCCTTCCTTGGCGGACGGCCTCATCCGCGGGGACCGTCCACTCCCTGCAGGGCATTCCCCGCCGACAGCCGGCAGCCCCACTCGCAAAGCCCCCGGCTCCCAACAAGCCGCCGTGTACCATCGGCAGCCCTCTGCACGCCGGGACCGCCCGAGCTCTGCCTGCCCCCTTTCCCCGGGCATTGAGTTGATTTTCGCCCTCTTCCCACCACCCAGCGCTGCCCCCGAGCTACCCCCACCGCCTCTGTACAGGAGAGCGCGTTAAGCTGCTGCAGGAATTGCACCACAGTTCTTTCTGCCTTCTTTCGCCGACTCCTCCATCTCTATCTTTCTCTTTCTTTAATTTACGACCTCTCGGCTTCTGTTGACACAGTTTTCCACACTGCCTATGTTGTAGAACTGCGTTGCAATATACGCCGAATCAGCCTAGGCGTCAGCCAGCACAAATAAGGGTGGGTGTTTGGTATTTCGCAGCTATTTAATAATGCTCGGCTCCATTTGAGGATGACAACAAATGCACCTCGCCTCCGAGTTTTCCATGAGTTCCGGCTTGAGATCCATTTTTCTTTTGTAATATCTTCAAGCTTACTAAAGCAAAACACCTAAATAACTACAGGAAATTTCCTCCTTAGCCTGGCCGTTAAGTAAACATTTAACTACTCCCTTTCCATAACTAAACCTGCTTTTCGCGGATGCCGGTCTTTTATACCGCAAAAGCGGGAATGCTGAGAAATATTTATATGTTTGTTAGTAAAAGCTAGAAAATTAGTTCGGAACACGCTGTAAAAAATATTCGGTTACTTACCGATCATATCGGTTCAAGAAGCATGAAACCGATTTCAGGCGCCTGAGTCACTCGGGTGAACGCTGGTGGTGGAGGTGCATAGGCGCAGTCAGTAAGCTGGAAAAGAATCAGTCAGAGTCGGGCTTATTGTTAATGTCTCAAAACAATTCTTTCAAAAGCATCCCCGTGCAAGCCCCGAGCGCTCCTCTCCCTCGCTCAGTCAGCAGGAGCGCGGCCGGAGCCAGCCCATGCTAAGCCGGCTCGCAAGCTGGGTGTCAGGCAAGGCAGAGCAGCTTCGCCTCCCTCCTCACGGGAACCAGCGATCCCGTGGTGTGTACTAACCAGCAACACGGGTATAAGCCGCAGCGCTGCTGGGCCATGCCTGTCGGAGTCGGGCATCGATGAAGTGCCCTCCGAAGCCGGATTTATTTGTTCCTCTGCCGGACCGGCACAAAGCACTTTGCCAGAGCAACCTCAGAGCCTATCTAGCTCTCACACAGACTTTTGCCGAGAAACTTCTTGGATCCATACTGTACCTGGTTTGAGATTATCCGATATTTAAGTTTTAATGAGTTTGTAGGGGTTTTTTTGTTGTTTGGGGTTTTTTTCAATTTTTTTTTTTTTTTTTTTTTTAACGCAGGTTTTACTGTAAGGCATCTGCTAAACACTTGCATTAACCTCTGCCTCCATGATAATTTTTCCCCCCTTGTTTTAATTACATTAGGGATGCGGAGGGGCAGCCAATCCTAAAAGAGGAGCTCGGCAATTAGCAGAGCGAACATCAAAAAGTTTTATTGCGGAGGGCGGCGGGCTCCGCCCCCGCCCCGGCCATTGGCGGCCGCCGCTTCTGACGACATATATTAACCCGAGCGGCCCTAAACATGTAGCTGTACATGGAGATCGGGCCGGGGAGCCCTGCCAGTGCCCCGCGCCCCGCCGCCTTGCCCGGCCGA